TTTGAGAAGAAAAACGTGTGCACGAAGTACGAGGACTTGCACTTCGTAATCTGCACTTGAATATTTTTAATTGTATGTATGTACGAATACGCGGCAATAGAATATGTCATAGTTTTCCGAGAATGTCTTGCTCATAGCTCACAAAATTGCGCAATTACCAGCTACTAGCTGGGATACAGTGCTTCGCTCGGTCTTTATCACCATAACATTATAGAACTCACCCCCACTTCTACAAAATATTTTTTCTGCCCCTGTTCCCTTCTATATGTTAGATCCCTTGTCCCTATGTTTTTGTAATCATGCTCACTTCACGCGGTGCCAGCTGGTTTTCAAAATTCACTAAAATTGGTGAAAATATTTCTACTTTCACAAAGTCATTTTATTTATAATAAGCAGGCTCGCTTACCTCTTTGCGCCAACTCCTATCCAATAGCTTAAAATTTTGCAAAAAATTGTCAAAATTGATTAGGGTAATCGATAATTTTGAGAGATAAAATTTTTCCCCGTAATCATGCCCACTGATTTGCTCCCCAGCTCCACAGCTCCGCAGCTCAGACTTTGTAAAAGTCGATAAAATCGGTATCGATCGCTTACGAAAAGTGGCATATGTCACCTTTCCGCCCCGAAGTTTATGCGCGAAAGTTGTCCGGATCGGTTCAGTGATGGAATTTTCTATTCGAAATATACGTATACGCGTATGTAAGCCGAAACAGATGTTTGATTCATAGACAAATACAAATAACAAAATGATAGCTAATACTTCTGGGCAAATTGCATATCCTAGTGCGCTTACCCTTTGTCTCAGTGGGATTGGAGGCTGGAAGGCGGGGCTTTGCGCCTAATAAAGGTTGGGAATGATCAGAGAGCACGCGCGCGCGAGAGAGGCGCGGACTGCGTCACTGATGCGAGCGTCGCCTTCTAGCCGCCAACCTGTTGAATCAAAGGAAATTAGCTCTTACTTTCTCCCGCAAATTCAAATTGATGTTAGATTAGCTTATAATTGCTCAAAACCACACTTTGTAGAAACTTGAGCTATATCTTCCCTGACAATCATAAAGCCTCATAATTCTATCCAAACATGGTTTTCGATCCAGTAAATTGGTTGCGCAAGTTGTTCACTGGCGCTTAAAGAGATTTTTTCAGAGACTTAGCTGGCAGAGAGATTCGAAAAAGTTGTACTGTATTTGAGCAATTTTTCAAACTGAGATTTGGTGAATGTTTGAAGCAGGCGAACAAACTCGTAACAGATTC